CTGTACCTGACGGGGCAGTCCGGACACTGAGATTAGTGTGACAGGACGTCTCTCCTGAGGCAGCTTCCAGCTAGATCAGCTTCTTCAGGAGCCTTTCTGATAAGTGGTCACCTCTCACCACCAGCCACTCCGCAGCTCTCAGTCTGCTGGCTCTGCTGGGGACAGTGGCTGAGTGTCCGTCTCCTCCTCACTAATTCCACCTTCCATCACTTTTGAGTGCAGGCGATTTGACAGCGTTAAAAAAAGATGACTGTAAAAAACACCCAGCCTTCTGATTGCACAGAATGGGAAAGTAAGTGAGCACCAGCAGCACACCCACACATGTGATCAGTCGCTGCCTCTCTGGTGGGGCCTGCGCAGCAGCGGTTCTGTGCCTCAGCGTCACAGCTCTGCTATCTCATGCACAGGGCTGGCTCTGCTACGCTTCACTTTTGTCACTTTTGTCTTTCATCCCTCCAGTCCCTCTGCCTGTGATTTTGTGCAAGAAAGGAACCCGCTGCTTTTAACAGAGGCTTTCTTTCTTAAAAATACCTTGGGGCATTTCCTACAGACTCTGCTAACTCATTTGCAAGTTCCCTGCCTTTCCCTGGTCTACCAAGTGTCAGCATTTGATATTTGTTCAGTAAAAAACCTTTGGAAAATTAAGCCCAGGCAGTGTGTTCCTGCCCTCCACCCCAGGTGTGCAAGGACTGCCTGCAGAGTGTTGGAAAACACTCTGCCTTTGTCTTTGACAACAACTTCCTGCAGGCAAAGCCAAATCAGGCTCTCGGCGCACAGCAGACCTCAGTTGCTGAGTAGCAGAGACCTGTTGACTGACCTGATTTGAGTAAATATGCTTAGATAAGCACTGTTTAATATATGAAATATGTACTTTTCTGATTCATTTATGCTGTTTGAACTAGAGCATGTTACGAAGCGTCTTTTAGGACCCTATGCAGACGACACAATCTGGAAGGGAGTGAACACACAGGGGGGAGACGAGGAACTGGGCTGGTAGAGGAACCGAGTGGGGGGGCGTGACAAAGGTGCTCCGAGGGGCGTGGTCCAGGCGAACAGTCCAAAATGGAGTCCAAATGGAAGTCCAGTGCAGGCGAAGGTCCAGAGCCGGGTGATAAATCCAAGACGAACAAAACAAAGTGAAAAGCCGAAGCGGAATCCGGCGAGGGGTCGGAGACAGACATGACAAAGTTAAAAACCGGAGCGGGATCTGGCGAAGGGTCGGGGGGAAGAAAGTGGGAACAGAACCAGGCGCTCCAGGTCCCGGGCTCGGCTGGTTCGGGACACCTAGGAGGCGAATGGATGTAGGGCGACTCGGTGACAATGCAGAGCCCGGAACAGAGTGAGCGTCTGGCTTTTGTAGGGAGGCTGGAACAGGTGGCAGGTGCACACAATCAACTAAAAAGCGAACGAGCCAGAGGGGGAGGGACTACAATCGTGACAGAGCCTGCTGCAGGTGAAGTCTGAAAAGCCTCCAGTGCGGTGCAGTGAGGTCCTGAATTGACTGGCTCTTAACTGGTCTTGCGGCTCAGGGTGAATGTGACTGTTCCACTGTTCCTGTTAACCTCTCTTCTCTCTCTCTCTGACAGCCTGGGTCGTGTTCCTGAGCACGAAAGGAGCAGGGTTGGAATCTGTCACGGGATACAGGGAAGAGGTGGAAGAGACAGACTCTGTCCCAGATACAGGAAAGGGGTGGAAGAGACAGACTCTGTCCCGGATACAGGGAAGAGGTGGAAGAGACAGACTCTGTCCCGGATACAGGGAAGGGGTGGAAGAGACAGACTCTGTCCCGGATACAGTAAGAGTCTCACTCGGCGCGAGGCCAGCCAGCTTGCAGAAGTACAACAGGAAAGACCGGGCATGCAAGAAGACGTGCAAGAGAGTATCTGATCTCATTCCTCACTCCCCACTGCCTCGCGCTTACCTCCTCTACTTTCATTTAACGCCCAGCGGCTGGTTTCACAGCACACAGCGGGTCCTCGTGCTGTGGGACTGCTGCTCTTTCAGCGATTTCCCCCTGGGCTGTCCCAGGGGCACCGGCGCTGACCTCTGCCCTGGCCAGGACACTGCCTGACAGAGGAAGAGAGTCATTGAGACTAATCGGCTTATTGGAACTTATTGCCTTCTTTTACATTCATCAAGCATTTTGGACATGGATATCATCTTTTACTTCAGTTTCATGCGCTGGTGATTGTTGTGTGTGCTCTGTAAACACAGACTGAAAAGCACCTGTATGGTTTCATTGTGACTCTTCTTATGACTGTGAGCGTCGTTGCCCTTTTCAACTCTAAGCAAACACAGAGGACAGAGATCGACCAAACACAAAAGACGCCACGTGCTTTCCTCTTCCTTTCGAATGACGTTTGTCTTGGAAGTGCAGCCTCCTGTCTGTCCAAGCTGGACAGCTGGCATTGGCCGGGGTCTCTGATGGAGAGGAGCATTCTGAGTGTCTGACGTCCTCCCTGCCCCCACCCTCCGCCAGCTGCTGAGACGTGGCCAGGAGACACTGGACTAGGACAAGAGCCAAACGGAGATGAGGATGGAGTCCGGACAGACGCAGGCCTGCAGATCCTGTAGAGACTGTCACCCTGTAACCACGAGGGGGCTGCTGTGCAAGTGTCCTGCTGCCTGGCTTGGCTTTGCTGCCATCCTTCTGTGAAGCGATGGATGACAACTAATACAGAGCGCCGACAGAAACCCAGGGTACGAGGAGGAGGGGCAGGGTGGACTACAGACTGCGACATGGAGCCAATGACTTTCCACTGCTGGTCCTGAGCCGGCTCCCACCTGTCAGGGGCGCTCTCCTGTTCAAAGCCGGGGTTTACTTGCGGTGGTTCTGCCCTGCCAGGACCCGCCCAAGCCCTCGTGCCAACTGCTCGTACAACAAAAAAAAGTGCCGCGCCCCGAAGGAAACAGGACACTCCTGCTGAGGGCGGCCGAGCTACAGATCGGTGCGCCTCATTGAGCTCTGCTCAGCCGGACTGCAGCTCAGCCACAGCACGTCGGCAGTCAGCAGGTTTAAAGCAAGGCAGGAGAACAACAGAGGGATGAGAGCCCATTAGAGCCATTGAGGTTCAAGTTTTCAGTCAGTTTTGCTCTTCGTGCTGCAGGAGGGAACAGCGCTTTGGGGAAGGTGGCAGGAGCCGGTGAATGGGATTGGGGCGACCAGTCAGTGTCACAGCCCTGCTCTAGAGGCTGGGGTACCGGGGGGGGCAAAGGTCGTCAGGTAAGCAGGGCCAGGAGGCCGGGGGACCTGAGGCCGTGGTGGGGGCCGGGGGGGGAGCGCGCGGGCCGGGGGGCGGCAGCCATGCGGTGCTCTCTGCGCACGTGGGCCCTGCTGGGCTCGCTGGCCCTGCTGTTCCTCACCTCGCTGCTCTTCTCGCTCTCGCTGCGGGGGGGCGCCGGCCTGCCCTACCTGGACCCCCCCGGCTGGGAGGACACCCACCGGGTCAAGCTGGTCCCCAGCTACACGGGCAGCCATCGCCTGGGCAACGCGGGAGGCGCCGTGCCAAGAACGTGCGCCTGCCGCAGCTGCGTGGGCGACCCGGGGGTGTCGGAGTGGTTCGACGAGAGCTTTGACCCCGACATCTCGCCTGTGTGGACACGCGAGAACATGCAGCTGCCACCCGATGTCTACTACTGGTGGGTGGTGAGTGTACCCTGCTCTTCTCCTCCCCTCCTCTTCCTCGGAACTGGACTTGTGGGGTTACTGGTGATGCGAGCAGGCCTGTTTCCTGAATCGCTTTGTGTAGCTGGCATGAGAGAGGCTGCTTCTCTCCCTCTGTCCTTTAGCGCAGAA